CAGGTCCAGGAGGCCACCAACGACAATCCCGATCAAGATGCCCAGCAGGAGCCCGATCACAAAGAGCCGCTGCCCCTCTCCTTCAGGACAGTCCGGAAGGAACCGATCAAAGACAGGCACTGGTTCTGGAGGGGACCTAAGGAACTGTTGACTAAGAAAAGTAAGAACCAGGGAGCTTAGCGACCCTGCACCAGCCCCTATTGCAAGAGGTCGGCTCATCCACTCTGAGCCCTTGCAGCTGCAGCGGTCGTTTAGGCTTCACTCGCATGAGAACATCCAGCACCACGGGTGGGAAATGATGTCCCTACAGCCTACAAGCAGAAAGCTCCAACATGCAGGAGGCGAGCTTGGGTAACCTCTGCCTGGGACTCCTCTGCAAAATCCACGTAAGCGTGGCCCATCCTGGCACTCGATGCAACCTTGCCTTGGGCAGATCCTCTAGCCAAAACGAACACCGCTGAAGGAGAATCTATCCGGTAAACCGGCATGTTCAAATGATTTGCAGGCACCGGCCTTTCACCAGAGGCCTTGTCAATCTTGATACACACTCGCTTCACCTGCTCTTACAAGCACTCAAAGTTGTGCTGTCGCAAAAGCAAAGGGATTCGGGAAATCGTGGATGCGCATACTCTTGATGTGACCTGATCTAAATTAACACTGCATGCAGATTCATGATGCTCCGTCGACCCCGGCCTAAAGGGGCGAGCACACAGTGAAGAATCTCTCCCACCGTTTTCCCGACCCAGCCCGTTCCACCACCATCTTATCCATTCGCACCCACTTTCTCAGCACATACCACCCGACTCCTAGGCCCCCAAACCCCAGCTCTCTGGAGGCCCCCTGGAGCTCTGAAACCACAAAACCTTGCATAGTTTCATTTGCGGATTCAAAACTGTCCGGACGCGCTGGGCGCTTGATTTTCTGTTGCAATCGATGCTGATGATGCTGGCCATAGGGGCTAACATCATCAACACCATCAACATCTTTGGGGATCCGTTTCTCCATCTGACACCTTGTCTGCTGCTTGGCCGGGAGAACTTGCGTGAAGTGTCATGGGGCTCGAAAATTTCATGAAATTGCATGTTGCGTCCTGTTTTGCTGCACGTGTTATAGGGTTTTCGCGAGGGTTTTAGGTCCAAGGCCTCAGGTGCTATGGTTTTGCGAGATCGATTGGATGTTTATGAGGCCGTTGTGTCAGCATTACCTGCTTGAGCCAATCCGAGTCTGGTCTGTGGGGACTTGCATCAAGGTTTTGCAGCGGTTGAAACAGCTTCGAATACATTATCATGGGTGTGAGCGGCAAGGGAACACAAACAAATTATGTTGACAATGCTTTTGTCCGAAACCCTGACCTAAACTTTATACTTCTTATAATCTTAGATCTCACCTTGCGCCAGGGGCCGCCAGGCGAGAAACAGGACAGAATGATGCCCCCTGCCTACGCTCTATAAGAAGCTTCCTTTTTTTTTGCATGTTACTCTGCTTGCAACGACCGCCTTGTCGATCATCAGCCTTTATATGCGAGTGTTCGCCCAACTTTTGCTTTGCCAGCATCATCAACACAATTGGGCCTTCGCTTCGCACTTTTGGAGCCCTCAATCGGATGGGTGTTGGAGCCTCTTACGTGTGGCGTCAAATAGGAAACTGCGGCCAAAACAGGCCCCATGATGCCCATGATGCTGGCTCTTGGGGGGCTGCCAGGACCTTTAAAATCTGCTACCTGCACTGCATGACAAGCATGCGACAGGCTTTGCGTGCATTACCCAGGCCAAACCCTCTAGATTGCGCATGTGTGTGTTTGCCCTTATTTCCAACTCTTTTGCTGTTCCTGTGCTACGATTTTGCACCACTTGAAGCTTATCAACTACATCGAAATGTTGCTTCTAAATGTGGGGAAAAACTACATGTGGGCCCAAGCATGGTTAGCCTGCGCAGAAACCAAAAAAACACATCCCAGGCAGCAAGAACATCATTTTTGCGTACACTCCTCCCGATCAGAAGCACAAGCAGGGCTGAGGCGGGCTGGTTTTCACATTATGGTTGGGTGGCCGGGGAGGGGCGGCGGTGGCCAGGCCGGCATTTGCCGCCAGGCCCGAAGCAACAATTGCAAATGCTTTCTCGCCTCCCCACATTCCTTGAAGTGCTCATAGAGCCTTGCACACAAGTCAAGGGATCGCAGGGTCCTGCATGTTGAGGCACGATTGAAGCAGAAGCGCTAAGAAAAGTCTAATTTGCCAGGACGCTGTTCCGGATAGATTTCGTCATCACCTTCCAGGCCGCCCACATAGATGGAGCATTCCGGCGAGTACCTGGGCTTCACTAGCTGCAAGGCATGACAAAAAAAACACCGGTGGTCTGCAGATGCTAACCGACATTGCTGCAACGGACATAAATGCCTAGAAAGCTCTGGGCATCCCACTGCTCACGCATTGCCAAAGAGATGGCATGGGACAAACCTGCCTCCTTCAGTGGAGCAGAAAGTCTAGTGGCTCTTCTCAATAGCACACATCAGACGACGCTGAACAACTTTTCAGCTGCTTCACAACTAAGCTGCCTCTGGTGGAGGCTGTGCTGGAGGTACAGTCTCACCCACGGGTATGGCCTCGTCAGCAGGACGTTGAACTGCATCCAAAGCTTCCTTGTGACGTCTCCAGATCCACCCTGTGAGATAAACTACCTGAATACGAAGGGATGATGTTCAGCCAAAATTTCTCATTGACAACTTTGCCCATGGTCTATCCCATATCAATAACAGCTTACGCCCGTTCCCCTGCAAGCTTGTTGCGCATCTCTTCAGGCAACCTTCAATGATTCAAGACACTTGGGCCTCAGCCTCTCCGGGAGTTGCCGAGTCCTTCAAAGATGACGCATGTTCAGCAGCTCACAGCTGACGATGCAACTCAGCTTAAAGGACACTCCCGGAGGCCTCCTCTGCAACCATCGCAACTTCTGCACGAACCCAGCTTTTGAAGAGTGCTGCTCGGCTCTAGCATGAGGTGCCATGACATTTGACTGCATGCAGGATGTGCGCAGTGTCCGTTCGTGCATGTACCAACTAGCCCGCCAATCTTGGCAAGAATGCTTGACATTCATTCATCTGGCCACGGAAAATTGCTACTTAGTCAGCGTTGCAGAGGAAATGTCCGCTTAAAAGTGACCTCTGTTAGTAGGCTTGGGATGACCAAAGTGATAGGTGTAGTGTTGACCACGCATAAGGAAGCCACGTTTGCAGCATCCTCACCAGAACGTAGATGATTCTACACCCTCCCCCAGCTACAACATCCAATTCACCGCAGAATCTCGCTTTAAACCTGTTCTGGTAAAAGTGCCTGGCCTTGTGTAGACACTCTCAAGATACCAACTTCCACAGATATTTTGGCCAACCCAAGGGACGCAAACATAAGCCTGTGGAGTTGGAGTGTTGGACGGATCACGGCAACAGCTTTGTTTTGTGCACAAGCTTCCTTTCAAAATGCGTTTGAAGTGAGACCTGAAATGGAAGCAGGGATTTGCATCCGCGGCCCTCAAATTGCGGATCACCGCTATCTTGGCTGACAGTGGCTGTTGCATTGTTCATCACGGCGTGTGCTCGCAACTTGATGCCTTCTTTCCGGTGCAAGTATGCCTCAAATAGGTACATGCAAAAGCAGGCCCACATTGGCTCCCAGTTGCAAGCTTCCTCTGCGGCCTGCAGTAGCGCAGAAGTCACGTGAATGAAACCCTCAGCCATTCTCACCACTTGCTCACCAGCGCGCCTCAAAGCTTGACGAGAGGGAGGCCATCTGGGGACTGGCTCTTCAGGTAGAGCAAGTACTGCCATACAGCACATGTCAGTGGTCACCATGCTGGGTAGCCCATGCCATGCCGTATCTGCCGGACGGTTCCAGTAATGGGCCAACTTGAAATCTGACACTCGCAAGAGCAAGCAGATCTAGCACTCCAAGCCATCACAAACCTTTGCAAGCAAGGTTGACCATACTGGCCATGCTGATGGCACAGGTCAGCCTTCGTCCAAGGAAGCCATCAAGGTCTCAGATTCGCCTTTTAATATCACTGTTGTCTTCTCGACAGGGCTGGGCAAACATCCGCCCGGCCAAAACGCATCATCTTACAAAAGTGGTCATCACGCAACAATATGATGCCTCTCGATCCAAGCCCGCAATTCGAATTCAACCAACAGGCTTCGCAAGTCGAAGCCCTAGCTCTCAGATTCGCCTTCTCATATCACAGGCAGGCTCCATGCTAACCAAATGGCTGCCTAGCCGGCACGTCATCTTACAAAGCGATCATCATGCAACAACATGGAACAGCAGGAGGCCGACAGCTCAAGCATGTTTGAAGAATCATGTCGCGCCGCAAACCACAAGTCGGTTGGCTTCAGAACGGACGCCTGATACGAACTCGCGGACTTTTTGGGTTGCGATACTTGGACTCCCCACCAACATGTAAAGGGGCTGTAGGAGCACCTTAGGACGACCTAGGGAGTACATATGAACACGTATCAGGAGTCAACATGGAGGCCCTTCACAGAACCATACGACAAGACGAAAGGCTTCTCAGATTCGCCTTTTCATATCATTGTTGTCTTCGGCAAAGCTAAGCCAATGGCCGCCCAGCCGTTGTATCATCTTACAAAAGCGATCATCACGCAGCGAACACTTTGTCATGCAGCACACAGTGAGCTGGAAGTGACAGACAAGATGCAAGCATGACGAGCATGCCGAAACGGTTCTCAGATTCGCCTTCTCATATCATTGTTGCTGACAAGACAGGGCAATGGGACGCCCAGCCTGTGCATCATCTTACAAAAGCCATCATCATGCAGCAACACTCGAAGACTGCAAACTTGTACAGAATGATTCCCAGCCTTACTTCATTCCGGGGACGAGCATGCAATTGACTCCAAGACTACTTTCGAACAAACGAGGCTATGTTTACTGACTAGAAATCTTCAGGGTGCTTAAACTGCAGAACCCTCTTGATTTCCTTTCCTGAGGCCTTCCGATTCCTCTTAAGCATTCAACCCGAGTGGGCCAGTCCTGCTTCCAGGACGCAAGATATCCCTAACCATAATTAGTGACTAGATTGCTCGCCTCTTCCAGAGCAGAAACAAACCAAACAGACTTGAATAAACATAATCAGCTAGCACGCGAGGAACCTTATTTGGACAGCCAACTGAACGGCACCAACGTTCCAGAAGATTCTGGGCCAGGCCAAGGTGCGCATTACAAGTTGAAAGGATTCTCAGATTCGCCTTCTCATATCACGAAGCAGCATAGCAGCTAGCTGCTAGCCATTGCATCATCTTACAAAAGCCATCATCATGCAGCAACATGCCGTACAATGTTGAATACCAGTGCGACAAGCATATGGCGGGCAGCATGAAATTCAATTAGGCGAGGCAAATAGCGGCCCTGTCCCAGTCATTGAACTGTTGCACACAAGCAACCATGCCGGTGCAATGTACCAACACCGCAGGGCCGGGTCAGCAATCACCAGAATTGCCAAGTGGCTCTCAGACTCGCCTTGTCATATCATTGTTTGTTTTTTTGACGCTAGGCAAGTAGCCGCCCAGCTATCACTCATCTTACAAAAGTGCTCATCATGCAGCCGTCGTCTCAGAACAGACTTCTTGCATCAGAGCTTTTGCACAGCTCTCCGCGTTTCAACATCTGACATGAGTTGGCAATCGTAAGCAGGCTGAGTTGATGGTGGTGCCCTTGGGGTGCATCGGGGTGCTTGTGTTGACCATCATGAGGAGATGGGTTCTATCCCCAAGATTGAGTACCTGAGAACGTGTTCACTAAGCAACTTGTCCTCAAAGCGTGCCAAATTATTCGAACCCGTCGCCATGAGACCTCCTCATCTTCCTCCCTCTTCTGCCTCAGCCAATCGGCCTCCTGAGCACTTGCAAATGCAAAGTGAGCGAGCCGACACTGTAAATGTCTCAGCAAACGAGCACCACAAATGCGCGGGACAAGCAGCTTGATCACACCTGTGATGACTACCCTTTGTTCCCAAAGTTGGCTTGGGCTCAGACAGTTGACCCAAGCAATGTGGCGGAGTCGCGCGACATGTCTAGCTTTAGCATGTCGGAAACGCCTCGGCAATCTCAGAGTTCCTCTCGCTGACAGCCCTTGGCACTGACCGGGCTGGGCGCCAATGTCGCCAACAGACTCAGCGACCAAACAGCCTGCCGAGCCATCAATTCATCCAAAACTGCAAAGCTCAAGACAAGTCGCTGAGCCCAGCTTCCAGGAGCATGCAAGCATCCCCAATAGTTCGTTCCGGTCGTGCTTCTGACATGTCCCTGGCCAAGATGACAACTGCAGGTTGTACCTCCACAAACTGTGTGCTTGGGTGATTCGAGCACCGGGAAGATGGGAGTCTTGCTCTCCTGGCTGTCGGGCAGAAATAGCAAACACAGCTTGGCCCCTGGTGCCAGACAAGACTTCAGGACCGTTCCCTTGCATCAAATGTAGCAGCTTCACTTGCCTCTTTTGGAGGATCCACGTCCTCTTTGCCTGCCTGGGCCAGCATGGCTTTCGTCACCGTGTCCTCCGAGGCACAGCTTGACAAGCTGCACTACGAGTGGGGGTTTCAGTTGTTGGCTCTGCTTCTGTTTGCTTTGAGCATCCGCAGCACATACCTCGCTTGATTCACAACATCCCTCGCCATCCTCAATGTCGAATGCAATCTGCTCAAAGATGTTGGTAGGACACGCCTGCGTTTGCAAAAATCGCCAGTTCAGGGACATCATCGGTAACTGACCGCGACTTACAGGGAACTCCTTGCACCAGGAGGTGCTCACGTGCTGAGGAGCAATCCGCCACTTCATCTCACAGCTCAGACAATGCCCCTTTTTCTGGACACGCTATGCGGGAACCAGCGATGGCAATTAACCCTAGGCTAGACCGCTGAATAGCATTCAGGGAGTCCAGCCCTGTCAGCTATCAGCGGTCGGTACGATTGATTGTGATGATTCAGTAGATTCGCAGCAGAGGACGGTGCTAAGATCGGGCAAGGAAGTTTCGCGCGCAGCCACCTGTGCAGGAAAAAACTGCTGATGAAGTCCACATGCTTGTGTATGAATTGGATGCAAAGCAATGCCTGCCGTAAAGCCGTTTCCTGCTCCTTTTAGGGACTGAGAAGATCACATTGTATCTGCCTAGCAGCCAAGTGTTGCTGGGAAACATGGAAAGACAAATTTATGACTTTCCATAGCTGCAAGAAAGCGAATCTCTGGTTATACTGTAGTTTCAGGCATTTGTCATTCATCGGCCGAACAAAGTAAGATCTTCTATCCCACATGATGGCCACGCAGATCAGGAGATCCATCAATGCCCGCTCCATGGCCCACGGAAGAGAGGCGTTCGCTCGAAGTAGCGTTAAAACCAATTTGGCGGGTACGTACTGGAGAAACGCTGAGGAAACAGTTCTGAATGCCAGCTGGGTGGGCCATGGGTGAAGAAAAATTCAGCATCCTTGGCGTGCCCTTGGGGTTCCACAGGATTGCTGCTTGCTCGTGCTAAGTGAGACGGTCCTCATTCTCGCAGGTCCTCAGGCTGCACCCTGGACCACTTCGCTCGCGCGAAGATGATTCTGGGTTCAGACGGGGCCAAATAACGAACGGGTACAGGTCAACTGCACTTAGGGCAGTGAACAGGCACATCCATCATTGGGCCATGAAGTTTGAGGCAGCTTCGAGCATCTCTGGTAACGATTCACCCGCGCTTTATCTTAATATGGAAGCACGAGAAGCCTTCAAGAAAATTACACGGAGAGCGTCTTGAATGATTTCTAGGTCTAGAACCAACACGTAGCAAACCCTCTGAGGATGCTTGTAGCTGCCTGGCCCCACGACCAGCACCGCAGTGCTTAATTTTTGTTGACTGCGGTGCCGGCTCCTGCACCAACCTCCAAGTCTCGTGATATGGCTATAGATTCGAGTTGTATGTTGCTACCCATCACAGCCCTAGGATAATGTACACCGGCACTATGAAAGGCCAATTGTCGACTTCTCATCCAGAAGGCTAGGCAGACTATCCAAATCTTCATTTGGAAGACAGCGGACGGTTTTCCTGCTCCTATATCTCTGTCCCTGTGGCAAGTGTTATCGGTTGTCTGACACGAGAGGAGGGCACGAATGCCTCCAAATTTGTGTTTTGAAAAGCAACGCTTCTTACAAGGTCACCCTGCTAGGCTGCTTCAGGCCATTTCTCGTCCAAGCAAAAAAAACTGTCCGCAGCCTGTTAAGGTAGATAGCAAAAGTCAAAAGCAAAATGAGACCTGCACTTCGCGAGAGCCTGAGTGCAGCGGCTACTTGCACGGCAGAATGTCATGCGGCAAAGGACGTAGTCACTCAAAGTATCTTCGCACATAACTTGCTACCTTGCCTATGCACTTGTATTCTCTGTGGCAGTCTGCGGATTGTGGTCACATGATAGTAGCCTGCGACTCCTCCACAATCCTCCACAGAAAGACACTGCTGACATGTGCACCTCGATGTGGAGAACACAGCGTCGCTCATGCGACAAGTCTACCTGTGCCAAAGCAGAATCAAGCCGTACCTAGATGTGAGAAATTCGGAAATGTGCATGCATTTCTGCAACTGCCCTATATTGCAAAAACTCAGTGGGTAGGGATGCCTACGCCTCGGCTCAGCCGCAACTAAGAGGCCGGGCGCTCAGTTGCGCACCTGCGGACTGCTTGGGACATCACCTATTCTGCGTTTCACATCTTAGAGGCTTACAAGCTCCTTGGCACGTGGCTCACATTGACATACACTGTCACGGACGACACGGAGCCCTGCCTGGGATCCTCCGCAGAGGCAGCAAAGCCCCCGAGGCCGCTCTGATGGAGCCTATATGACAGCCCATATGACGCTCAGATGCGGCTGCTGAGGCTGAGATCTTGAAAGACTCCAGGTCTGTCCAAGCCTGCTCGTCATCTGGCTGCTCCAAATTATCGTAGGGCAGCAGTGGCTCAAGCCTTAGAAGCAATGCGCAACAAACTCAAGAGAAAAAGTGGCAAGTGGCATCGCAGTATGCCATAGCCAAAACCACTCAGAGATTGTAGTTGCTCAGCTGCAAGGTGGGTTTGCAAAGAATGCCCTGATCAAATCACTTCGGCAAACCAAGCCTGCGTGTGCTTCCCCAGCTTTCAATCAGAAGCTTTACTGTACCAATGCTGCTATCGCTGCTTCGTTACCTGACCCCACTTGGTCTGCGCATTTGGCCGACTCAGCGCCGAAGAAGCGCTGGAAGAAACGAAATTACTGAGCATCCAACTCGCCAAGCTCTTTTCCTTTGAGCCACTCGAAATCCCAGTCCTGGCTTATGCAAAACAGACGTGCACCTCGGGCGTGGTGCATTTTGCCGACCACAGCGGTTGCAAACAGGCCTGGATCGGATTTCCTTCTTCTCGCTCCATTTGGGCCTAAGGGGCACAGCCGGCTAGGGCATAACCGACTCCGCAACCACCGAGTGAGCAGCTCTTAGATTGACGAAAAGCTTCCGCAACATAACATAGTTGGGACGGTCCTTGAAACATGTTGGAACACAGCAAAGCATCTCACTAGAGCAGATGGTAATTATGCATGGCCCGCATGTCGACTTTTATCTTGACTGGGCAGTCCTTGAAGCCGAGGTTTCTGGCGTACTCCAGATAAGTCTGGAATGCCTCTGGATGTCCTGCACACCTGAGCTACATCGTTGCCAAAAGCGAGTTGAGAGGGTTCAAGAAGCAGATCTTGGAAGCCAGGGAATGGGCAGGTCCGAAAGCTCTGTGCTCTCCTTCAGGTCATGACACTGCTTACACAGGCTTTGGAAAACAGCTACTTGTACGGCGTGAAGGCTGTCGAGGCCGCGAAGGAGACTGCTTAGATGGCGTCATAGCTCAATTGTTTTCGGGGCATCTGACTCTTTCGGTTCACCATTCGGTCCTTCTTCTCCTTGATCTTCTGATACTTCTCCTAAGACCCAAGTCATTTGCTACTCAGCTGTGGTAGCAGTGCGCCTGTGTGCCTTCTTGGTTCGCGCTTCAAGGCCCGACCATGGGAGTGAGGAGCGGAGGAAGTACATGAGCATGTGCCCGATGGCCTTCCCAGACTGCTTTCTGAAAAACGAGCTTTGAGAAAATCTGACTGCGAAAGAGCTACCTCCAAGTCATCTCGGCGGCTCTGCTCGAAGCCACGATGGGCGTTCAGCGAGGCATACCTCGCTTGGCAAGCACCAAAAAACACTCGCACATCGCTCCTATAACCCCCATCATCCCGTACAATTCCCGGCCCACCTGGCCGTGCCGGTGAGGCTGAGCTTCTGTGTGGAGGGTACATGTTTTTTGTCCCAAAACCTGGACAAAAGAAGGTGGCCGAACAGAGAAATTCAGCCATTGGTGACTTCTGAGATACAGCCTTTTGCTGAGGCCAAAATCAATCAGGTAGAGGTGATGCCTCCAAGCCATCCAAGTTCCGACATGACAAGCCCGCATGGGCAAGCGAATTGAAACAGGTTGATTTTTTCCCCATATTTGAGCAAAGGCAGACTTCGTCCGAGGCTCCCACACTTTGTTGCCCACACCCCACATGAAATTCTCTGGTTTGATATCCTCACACAGCAAACTCGCATCGCCCAAAGCAAGCAAAGCGAACAGCGCCCCATCTGTGACGGACGCAAGATGTTCTTGAAGTCATGCTCTGGCACTGCCGAACGTTGGAGATTCCACAGTGTCTACACAAGACGCAAGATATGTCTGGAAGCCAAGGCGCTCTGTGCACCACTCCTGCGCCATCAAGGGCACTGGGCGAGATGCAATTTCACTCGCGAAAAGACGACATCCACTGACGATCTAACAACAATGTCTGCAACAGTATAGCAGTCCACCAACAAGCACAAAACAAGTTCACTCATATCCTCCCTCGCGGAAAGCTGCAATCAGTTACACCCTCCTCTGGAGTGAAGATACTCGATGCGCATGAGCACCTCCAGTTGACTGCAGTGCACGGAGGGCAGACTGCTCAAGCAAGATTCTGACTCACCAAAATCGATGCAGCACGGTCTCTTCATCGCCTGCTGCGCAACGAGACATGTTGTCTTTGCTGTAAACTGTCCCCCACACCTGAGTCATGGCAGCGTGATGCAAAAGCAATCACGTGCTTAATGCAGGGGCCAGGAAATTGTACTACCGCCAAGCCAGGCCAAGTCGCAATTGCACGTAGTCTTCCAGACTTTTGCCCAAGAACTCCATGGCCAGACAGTTGAAGTTGCCCTCACACATCGAATGCCCAAACTAGAACGGATTGGCAACCAGAGCAAACACGAAGGTAAGTTGAAAGCGAAGCAAGCAGCTTGCTCTGCTTGCTGGGATACCCCATTACTTTTGTGTGGTTCTGTTGGTCCAGGCCTCCTGGCCGAAGTAGAAGAACTTGGCAAAGCCCTGTGGCTGTGAAGGAAGCCGTAGTAAGTTCAGCATCTCACCCTGGCAATCACGGGATAAACTCAAATGCTGCTGTTGATGGCCACAGGGTGCCACAGGCTGGCCTCATGACGCAATTGAAGCGACTGATTCTGCAAAGCCTGCAAAGCGGTTCAAGTAAAAGAGGCCGACCAGACTGGCTGCCAACTGGCTGCCTTCTCTTTCAGACAGCCTCCCGCCTCGAACTTGATTGCTACGTCGTCCTTCGTGCCGGTGTGGAAGCCTCGGTATACCTTCCCAAGATTTCCAAACATTACAACTCAAGGCAGACGCAAAATTGTATCTTCACATCTGCAGTCGTGCAGAAATCTTCTGGGATCTTCTAGCCCCGACTACTTCTGGGATCTTCTTAACTCGCCCTGCCTCACCAAAGCAGCCTGCACCCAGCTTCTTCTGAATTTGGATCCTGAGAGATGGGATTGCCCGTTTGCCAGTCTCTCTGCGCGATTCATGGCAAGACAGGCCCCAGACTGACCATTGTTGACGGAAGGAGGCACTTTGGCTTTGCCAGAGGCCTTGACAACGAGTGCAAAGCCTTCCGCCTAGCTAACGTATCACTCAAGTCGGAGAAGGCTATGCCAAATACCTTTCCAAACTGGCGACAACCTTCTCAAACTATCGGCCGAGCGCATCAGCTAAGCACGGATTGACAGGGGCTTGCGTACGTGAGGCCTGGGGGAGATTGGGAAGGGCAAGGTCTGTTTACTCTCGAGCTGTCATCTGCTTCAAGGTTGCACATGACATGTCAGCTACTCCAGTGCTGCTGGTGAAATCTGCACGCACGCTCTGACCCTCGCCGCCAGACCTGGGACTTGCTGTCCGCGCCACAGCCAATTGTAGGGTTCCATCTGGCAGCAAAGCCCTCTTGGTTTCCGCCTATGTGTGCGCATCCTCACTTTGCAGGGCAACGTTGGAAAAGCCAGTGCTGCCGTGTCCCTTGCCCTTCCTCCTAGCTTCACTTCTGTCGTGAGGCTCTTCAACGTCGCTATCGTCGCTCTCCTCCACTGCGTCGAACAAGAGCAGGTCATCTGCCAGAACTGGCATTAGCAAATCCTCAAGCTCCCAAATCTCAGACTCGGCTGTGAGTGCCATGAGGGATGGCACTTCACGGCGTGCGGCCTCAGGTCCAAGCTTCCTCAGATGGTTCACAAGCCGGATGCGGTGGTAGTCCGACCACTCTTTCCCCACCCGATTCCGCAGTGTCTTCAGAGAGAAGCCGTGGGCAGAGTCGGCATGAGTCCAGCAAAGCTCAGCGCTTGCGAAGGTCTCCGGGCCGAAAGGAGAGAGCACCTCCCCAACATCCTCGCCATCGTGTAGCGCCTCCGCCTCAGAGCCAAAAAAGGATCCCTGGTCACTTTGCTCGTCGCTGCCATCGCTTTCAACGGTCTGTTTATGCACGGCTTGTGCGGCCGCCGTCTTCCCCTCCATGGCGAAAGCAACTCAAGTCTCACTGTGACTAGCAGCCAGGGGAGCCACTTGGCTGAGTGGTATAAAACTAACTTGACTCAGGCCTAGCAATGCAACTACAGCTAGCCAACGAATTGTCAGCTTCCAGCATTGGTGTGCAAGCTCTCTTACAACACTGAGATCCGTGCCGAAGACATGCCCTGGAGCTGCCTCGGCCCAGAAAAGTGAGGATCACGCCTGTGATACATAAGGCGAAAGGCCGTTACGAAGGCATGCAAAGCTCTCTGGCAAACAGCTAAAGAAATGGAAGCTGAAAGACAGAATCGAAATATGACTAGCAAATTGGGAACACGGTTTCGAACCAGTCAGGAACCGGCGCAGGGTCACGTGGAAGCGGCAGTCTGCCCCAACTGGTCAACTGTCGCAAGTTGTCTTAGAAACGTCTCGAAGGAGTCGTGCCTAGTCTGAGTGATGGCAGGGTCAGGGGTTTTCCGTCTTTGTTGGGCTTAAGGTATGCAACAGCCTGCATGGACATTTTGAGTTGGTCAGTTGGTGAGTTGGTCTGGCTTCTTTGTTCTTTGGATGTCTAATGAAGTTTGTCTTGTATCCTTCCTATTATGTGGCAGAGCAACAGCGGAGCCTGCCCTTGAGCCGAATCCCACCACACGTAGCGTTAAGCCATGTAACGTTCAGCTGCCCAGAAAACATGATCTCAGATGCATGTAAACTTGCTGTTTGTCAGCACTGGCATCTGGCATCCGAAGACATGGCCTTCAGTCTTTGGACGGCGTCCTTGTCGGGAGGGACCGAACCAACCTTAGATCACAAACTTCCTGGCCTGACATGTTCATACAGCAGGTCAACCATGACCGGGGAATCCCCGGCTGGGGCACGCACCTGCCCCGACAGAACCGGTGACGAGAACAACGCCATACGTTCTGCAGAATCTCTATCTATTGCACACATGACAAGGGATCCTGAAACTCAGCGCTGCCTATCATGATTTCTCCAGTGAAGCTTGCACTTAGCTTCAGGGTTTGATCTCCTGCGGAGAAACGTGGCGCACGCCTGCTGCAGATGTCTCGACAAGGCGCGTGGCAAAGGGAAGCTGCGGCATCCTGGACTGATGGTACAGTACAGAAAAACCATGTTTTCTAGCTGCTCTAGCTATATATAGCTATATCACCGATCCTCGGCTCATCGCCTGTCTCGAGCGCTTCTGGTGGCGGTATTCGCCAAGCCTGCAGTTCATGGCGCAGCCTGGCAGCTTCACTGTTCGTCATCACCAAGCTCCGGACTGATGCAGGCAGCCGTATGGGCGGGTGCTCTTCGCCCCAGCCTTGCCGAAAAGCTCAGCAAACACGAGGGGAAGCCTCTTCACCGGCGTCTAGCATGCCAATTTGAGCAATGACCACTTAGTACGTTGCCCTCAGCCAAGTCCTCGCCGTTCCCGGCCTGCGAAAACTTGAATCTGAAGCAAGGGCTGAATGACTTGCTGCTTGCAACATCAACATAGACTGCTGTGCCCACACAATGAGACTCAAGACTAGGCTCGAGCTCAAAATGCTGAAAAACCTCCATCATCTACTTCATTCACATTTTCATATCTGGGCACAAGATCCCACAAGTCTAACCATGCTACAGCCTAGAACTCCACTGAAAAAATGAACGCACGTATGCATTATCCATGGCCGGTGAATTCCAATCATCCAGGTACTACTTGCCGCACTATATTGGCAATGATGCGATAAGGTTCGCATAGGCTGAGCAAAGCCTTTTGTGGTCCCTGACTGTCGCAGTCTGCTGAACTTCCTGCTGACTGGATCTTGGCGCAACATTTTTGCATGCAAGGCGTCAGTGCTGAGCCGATCGTCTTAAGCCTGATTCACGCCCGAACCAATCACAACTCGGTATGCGAACCCTGGTATACCTGATTTTTGGGAGAAACTTGTTGCAGATTGAGCTCTGCAATTAGTGCATCTGACCGCATGCTCACAGAGCTTTTCTCATGGCTTTCCAATGATCTTCAAAGCTTTGCTGGAATCAGCGCAATTATTGACCTGAATACTCAATTCTAACGAATGTGCCGAGGGTCAGCTTGCATCAAGGATCTGAAAGCACAGGCTAAGAGACACTCCTAAGAAGCCGCAGATGCGGGGCAGCTCTGGATCTCGACTGGACTAGGTGCTTCATGATGGATGCAACTCGCCAGCTGAGTATCAAAGTACCCTTTTCAGAGTCACCGGACCGTCATGTTCCAGGTTGAGGCTGCCTGATTGCGTTTGTAGTGCTTCGCCACCGCCACCGCCACCACCACCACCGCCGCCGCCGCCGCCGCCGTCAGTAATTGATAGCTGAGGAGTATGGCCACAATGCTAAAGCAAAGTCTGGAGGGTGGCAAACCACATTCAGGAAGGCTCTACAGTCAAAAATGAAGCAAAGAAGAACGCAAAACTCCACATGGTCGAGGCCAATCCGGTACTCTGTTTGTCAGGAAGGCCGAAATGCACCTCCGTGTTGGCCTCTTCAGGTTTCAGATCGCAATTCATGGCGCGGTTGCATCCGACCGCAAGGGCAGTTTGGGTGGATCCGAATTCCGAAGACGATAAGGCTGGTCGTGTCCCAAAGCGAGAAGACAGAATGGTGAGGCATCCTGGAGGACATGCCTAGCTGCTTGTCCATTCTGCTTGAGTATTTTGGGAAAATGAAGCTGCACATCCGTTTGACATTCCTTGCATCCGCTTCTGCTCTTGGACGAGGAGTTGGTGCGATCTTGCTTCTGCGTGCCCGCAAATCGCTGTTGTGGGATGTGACACTCCTGTGTTTTTGCCATGTTGGAAATATTTCAGAAAATGCATGCCTTAGCTATTAAGACATCATACCACCACCACTGCTCCTACAATTCAATGGCTACTGCTGCAAGCCTGGCAGCCAAGTGGGTACCTGCTGACGCTCAAAACAACCACACAACTTCGCCACCTTCGCTTCCTGTTGTTGCTTTCTATGAGAAGGAGAATTCAGGGAATTCTGTTGTTGCCAGTAGTTTTCACTTGTATCGCGTCCGTGTGCAAGAATTCCATCGTGTGAGTCAAGCACACAGACGGACTTCACGAATATTCAGGGGAATGGATGCGCAGGCCGGCACTCGAGCATGCATGATTGGGGACGCGCACCATGGGCGTTGTCATGATCTAGAGTGTCGGCATGGATGCCTTGAGGAATTAATTTGCCGTGAGATGGAAATTCCAACACGCCTGTCCCGGGCGTAAATTCACGTGAAGATGGATGATGTGACGGGTCCACGCATGCCTAGAGAATGTAAAGGCCCACAGGACATTCCAACATCATCCACAAGCATTTCGTGCACCACGCAGGTCACCTCCGATTTGGTCTGGCGCTTATGGTGCGTGTACACTCCTGTGTAGATAGCAATGAGAACGAAAAGGGCAGGACCAGAACAAAGTCGAAAGAAACACCGGTGCAAACAACGAGAACGAAAAGGGCTCGACCAAAACACAGAGACAGCGAAGCGACAAAGGAAAAACAGCTGCAAGAAGCAGGATGCGAACACTATCGGGAGCAAAGGCCTTAGAAGGCTTAGTGCTTAGGCTTGTGGCGTTTAATATACCTCCTTCAGACACTTTGCAAATCAAGGTTCCATATTGCTGGCGCTCACAAACAGACCGCTTAGCTGTAGGGTCTAAGGAATTAAGCGCATCCAGAGCTGCTCTGTGATCGCATTCAGGCTTCAGGCAATGAAAATGAGTTCTGCGTGGATTCATCCGACGTCCCTCTTGAATCTAATCGAGGATATACATCCAAGCTTACAGCCTCCGAAAGATGCACTTTAAGGCCTTACTTCCCAAGCCACATCCTGGGCCTAAGCTATTATCTGTCTGAAAGCAGGAACGGGAGAGGAATCGCATGCTTTTTCTGCGGTGAGACTTCTTCATTATGGCCAAGCTTAGTCGGCAATGCATTCAAAGACAAAAACATCAGCTCACATGGTCACGCACCATTTGGGCGAGTACCGCACAAATCCTGTTACGGTGGACAGGTTAGATCAGGCGCTCTTCTGAGAAGGGCTCGCTCACCTCTCCGGCTGTGCCTGAGCCAAGGATGGGTTGAGCTTTGCTTAATTTCATGACCTCTGCATGCTCAAAGTTGTTCAGCGAAGGTCTGTTGCTCAGGAAGAAGTTCTAGAGAATGCTTCCGACAACCTTTCTTTTGAAAACCGGCTTTGTGCCGAGGTGTCCACAGTTAGTAGAGCCGGGCGCGACTTTTGGGGCGGTAATAAAATTAAAAGAAAA